AATCATTGTCAAATACCGAAGCATATTTAGTGCTAAACACATCAAGATCTTAGGCACATTGCTCTGCCTAAACACGTTTTGGCTTTTAAGTGTGTCGGGTTTTAATTGGAATCATAATGCCCTGCTCCCGATTAACCCTTGCATGAGAGTTAAGCGGGATAAGGGAAAGTATCTGTTATAATGATGTCAGTACTGGCGCTGTATGTGGCTTCCGTGGGTACCCAGGGGCTCAGCCAAAATTTTCAATTTCAAATATTTGGAATTGGACAAAAAATGGAAGATTTTATTCTTTGATAGAATAGAGAGGTTTCACCACGTTAATTTCTATTTTTAAAAAAATCACCTGAACGAAATGTGTATACAAGACAATAAATTTGGTGTGAGATTTCACTCTTTTCTGGTTCCATCAACAAAGGGTAATAAACTTATAATCAAGAACCTCGGATCTTAAATGCAGGAATGTTGTTCTATTACCTATCTGCAAGCAGTTTCTTGGACGTGAGAAAGCTATCTTATCGCTTGTGTGTGTTTTTTTTTAAATATGTGTTGCATAGGCCTAATATTAGTTTGACGCTGCTAACGGTGCAACATCTCGTGTCTAATTTCTTTTTTTTCCCTTTTTATTCTTTATTGGTCTAATATATTTAAAATAAATACATCAGAAATTCCTCATTTATACACTGCAATAAAAGGTAAGAAATTCAATATACAATTACATATAAAGGGTTAAGAAACACAATTCAATTACAATTTAAAATAGAAAAAGTTATGTTAAACGGTAAAACAATTCAATATATACAATTCAAATAAATACTTTAGGTAATACAATAAAATTTACAATTATTAATTAGATTGATATTGATATGATATGATCAAGGTGTTCTCTCCATGGGTAGAAAAAATTATCTTTCAACATATTTGTTGTAAATTACAATAGAATGTGGAACAAACGATTTGTTATAGCGTTTAGTACGGCTAGGTAAAGAGCGAATACGGATATGGGATGGGAGAAAATTGTACTCGTTGTAGAGTGGATGATCATTTTGAGAAAGTATGCGTCTTACCATGGAGAGAACACCTGCATTATACTTTAAATTGAGCTTAGAAGAATCTACTCCTATTGCACGCCCCGCCCTTTTGGTGATCTTCGCCAACAATCCCTTATCTTTTTCATATAAGCTAGCTTCCCATATAATCCGACAGAAAGAAATCACACTGAGTATCATTGATTGGTAGAATATTTCTAGAATTTCTTTATCAACATTAAATTTCCTAAGTTGCCGTAACATATGAAGTCGTTGCTGGTCTTTTTTGTACAGTCTAAGTGTATTACTGGACCATTCATATTTTTCATCAATCACAGTACCTAAATATTTGTACTCGGGAACAACTTTAATCTGTTCACCATCAATATTCAGTGGTTCACGATCTGACCTATTTTTCTTCCTAAAATCAATGATAAGTTCACATGTTTTCTTTAGATTGATTTTAAGGAAATGGTTTTTACACCAATTTGAAAAATAGGTCACATCATTTAAATAATTATTAAGGGATTGGGGGCCATTGTTTAAACTGACAAGGACGGTGTCATCAGCGTATTTGATTGCCATGCAGTTCTCAGTCAGGGTACGACAGTCGTTGGTGTAGACGATAACAGCAAGGGTGAGAGAACACAACCCTGTGGAGAACCAGTGCTATTATAGATGATAGAAGAAAAAGTTTGTTTTATTTTGACTTGTTGTGTTCTGAGGTGAAGAAAGTCTCTGATCCAGAGAATAATAGAATGATTGATACCAAATTTAAGAAGTTTAGGAAGAAGCACATGACTTTGCAAAGTATTAAATGCGGAAGAGAAATCGATGAAGAGAAGCCTTGCATATGAATTTGATGTTTCTAAATGTTTTTTGGTGTAGTGGACAAGGGTTGCTGTAGCATCCTCAACACCACGATGCGCCCTGTATGCGAACTGCATGGGATCAAGTTTCGGTTCTTTAACTGGTTTTATTTGGTTAACTACAAACCTCTCCAGACATTTCATGATCAGTGACGTCAGTGCAATTGGTCTGTAATCATTTAGATTACTCACAGTTGACGACTTCGGTATGGGAATAATTAAAGAATGTTTCCAAATAGAAGGAATAACACATTGACGGAGTGATAACTGAAAAATATATTGGAAAACAGGAGCAATTTGTGTTGCACATTCCCGAATAAGTATGCCTGCCAACCCATCAGGTCCAGCTGCTTTCCTAATTTTGGTTTTACGAAAAAGTTTTATAACTTCCTCAACAGTTATATTAACAGGGCAATTTTCGGAGTTCAAATTTCTACAAAAGGTAATATTTTCCTTATCAAAGTTTCTGTCGTCAAAACGAGTATAGAAATTATTTAGGGATGAGGCTAAGCTTTCATCATTAAAACTTGGGAGCATTTTAAAGGAGGTTTTAGCCCTACACCCAGTTATTAATTTTACGTCATTCCAAGTTTCTCTAGAATTATTAGCTACAAAATGATGATGTAACAGTATTTGGGTTAGAATTGTTAGATAATCTTATTGTATTTGTTGTCAAAAGATATTAAAAAGCTTACGGAAGGTAAGTGATATGAAAAATCCAAAAATCAACTAAAAGTCGGAAGGTGGTGACTTACGAAGTAGGCCTAATTAGATAGAAAGATCAAACGGGACTATATGAGAGTGGACGTTGGAGGTGATCGCTTGCGGGAGGTGATCGCACACGGAAGTTAAACTACCGTATACCAAGGAAGAGTTAATTTAGATTCTTCCCTGATTCATACTATATACGATGTACGCCGGTTCTGAGGCAAGGGTCATTATAAAATGAGAATGGCTTACATTTCATATACTGTATTTTATTTTTCACATTACCAGGCCCGTAGCGTGTGGGGGGGGGGGTTAAGGGGGTTACGACGAACCGCCCAAAAACTGGAGAAGGTCCGCATTTAAAAACGAAAAATTGATATTCGTAGATATTGTATATTTATAATGTTCTCCAGAGTATCGGAGATCATACAAGTCAGAAGTATTTCAAGTCGGCATTTCCCTGTGTTGTGGTATCGTTCATTTGTACAATGATTTCCAAAGGGTCCACTTTCCACTGAAACGAACCTCCCACAAATTAAGTCACACTACGGGCCTGATTACCGATCATTTAATACTATAATTGTGATATTTTGTAACATTTTTAAGGGCAGGACTCCGGCTGCACCCCTGGACTGACGGGGTGAGGGTGGCGTTTTCCTTCTGACACCGCCCCCACTCCCCGCACAATTCCCCTCTTAAATATCAATTTTAAAAACAGTTAAGAATCTACAATAAAACACGAACGGAAATTAACAATCCCCAAGTTGTAAAATAACGATTACTATCTTTGTTTTAGCAAGTCACGTGGAATGTATGTTGATGGATAGCATGCAGCCACGACAGGGCATGCCTCTGTCGAAGGAAACTGTCAATGCGCCTTCAATGCGGCTGCCTAACAAACTTAGTCAAAATAATTACCATAGAATGATGCCAGAATTCCCATTAAACTATTGAATTAACAATGCAAAATGTTCAATACTATACTCACATTTTGTTTTTAAGTATGCAAAGTCTCCTTCGTAGTCTTTCACATCCATTATTGTTTATATGTGAAACGCCACCTAGAGAGGTACAATAATAATTCATAATTTGCCTCTTCACATAACGTTATTTTGATTGCCAATCCATGATAAGCGCAATGTTGGCCATATTAAGCCATAAAAACTTTCCTGGGAACCCTACCGGGAATTTTTATCCCGGGACCCCCGGACCGATGCTCAGTCTGCCCCTAGGTTCGGACCCACAACACGTTGGACAGTGGAGCCGCTTTCGGCCAATTTCTGAAGCCACCGATGGGTGATGAAAATTATGTTGAAAATAATGATGACAGTGGTGATGATGATGATGATAATGATGGTAGTAGTGGTGGCGGTGGCGGTGGAGTATCTTGAAATGGGGCGGGTGTTGGGAGAAGGTTACGTGGGTATGGGGGAGAGCTCGATTCAATTCAATTCAATTAAACATA